ATGAGAAGGGAGCACTCACTGGAGAAGACCCTGATGCTGGGAAAGATTGAAGGTCAAAGAAGAAGGGGACGGCAGAGATGGTTAGACAGTGTCATAGATGCAACAAACACGAAATTGAGCAAACTCCGGAGGATGGTGGAAGACAGGAAGGCCTGGCGTGATGTGGTCCATGGGGTCGTGAAGAGTCGGACTCGACTGTGCGACTGAACAACAACAACAAGGGTTCCTATGCTTTTTAAACTTGTGCATAACAAACAGAAATTCAGCAAGTGAAACTTTGCTCAGCCTATGGATGCGACAAAGAGCAACAACAAAAACAACTCTTAGTACATCTTGTTTCAGGCTATGTTAGGTATCGTTTATAATGGAAAGGCAGGATAAAAATCTGCTCAATAAATAACAAATGTGATGTACATTTTGTTTGCTCCTAGGACTTTTTGGCATGATGACAAACCATGGTTCTTGTGGTTTATATTTTACTTTAGCCAGCATGCTCAGGTGGTTAGAGTCAGACTGAGATCTGAGACAGTGAGGTTCAGATCCCCACTCTGTTATGGAAGCCTGCTGGGTGACCTTCGGCCAGTCACTCTCACTAAGCCAAACCTACTGCATGGCAATCTTGTGAGGATAAAAACAGAGCAGGGGGAAATAATGCTGGAACCCCATTGGAAAGAGAAATGGGGTATAACCATCTAAAATAAACAATCCTGGTTTGGAGGAAAGAGAAAAAAGTACACTTTGTGGTGGTTTCGAATGTAAGAACAAATGCTGGTTTGTCATGAAAGTGAAAAGTATTTTTTTTTTCCTGAGGTGCGTGAAAGAGGAGGTGGATGGAAGTATGCAAACCAGAGGAACCCCTGGCATGTTTCTGTAATGACAAACCATAGCCAGTCATTCTGTCACAAAGTTTGTATGGGTTGTTTGCTACACCTTGACTAACACAGCTAACCTTTCAGAAAGTATCATTCAGTGTGGAAATTTACTGGTCACATAGTATTAAAGACACATGGTGGCAAATGGAATGATTTACTTAGCTGATCAGTAGCCACATGAACTAATCTCTAGCCTTATACTGAATCTAACCATTGGTCCAACAGGTCAGTAAAGTATACTCAGTCTTGTCAGCAGAAGAAGAAGAAGAAGAGATTGGATTTATACCCCGCCCTTCACTACACAAAGGTGTCTCAGAGCGGCTTACAAACTCCTTTCCCTTCCCCTCCCCTCCCCTCCCCACAACAGACACCCTGGTGAGGTAGGTGGGGCTGAGAGAGCTCTTGACAGAAACTGCTGTTTTTCAAGGACAGCTCTTATCAGAACTACGGCTTGCCCAAGGTCGTCCAGCCAGGTGCAAGTGGAGGAGTGGGGAATCAAACCCGGTTCTCCCAGATTAGAGTCCGCACACTTAACCACTACACCAAACTGGCTCTCAGCAGTTTTCCAGGATCTCTTTCACATAACCTACTACCTGATGTTTTTAAATGAAGATGCCTGGATTGAACCTGGGACCTTCTACACTCTAAGGAGATGTTCTACCACTGAGCCACAGCCCCTCCACAGGAGACTGAGTGAGTTGGCCTCTGTCTTCAGCCTTCTTCGTACCATGTCTCAGGTAGTTCTTTCTTTATCTATAGAGGTGCAACACACTGGCACACTGGCACATCACACAGAAAGCACAGCTTTCACAAAAGAAAGACTGCAATCACAGAGTCACCTTGACATACCCTACAGAAAAATCTATACTGGATTCTTCAACTGAGACCACAAGAGCAGTCCACATCACTGCAACCAAAGAAGATTCCAAAGGCTTTTTCAAGAGCAAAGGGATTGAATTAAAACAGCTGCTGCACCCAACTCAGCACTGAATCAGCCTGAGAATAGCAGCATTGTGACTACAACCCAGCAGTGCCAACCACTGACTTAGTTGCCCTTTTCAAAACCCCTGAATTTGACACAGGTGCATCAGAAGTTGTGCTTTGATTCAGAATCCTCTCAAGCAGCTCTGCCTGCATTAAGGTCATGTCAGAAAATGCAACGGTCATCAAATAAGGAAGAAGCAAACCAGAACAGTTACTGACGACTGATTCCCTGATAGCTGTGCAAACAACTTACAGTAGGCAATGTTTATCATAGAGATCTCAGAGGGTATGGAAACGGGCTATATGGGTTCCTTTTTTTTACAACTTTGGTTGGCTAAGGAATATGCAAAGAGTTCAAACTTCCTTGTTTTTCATGTATTAATTTTAAGTAGCTCATGGCTTAACTGCAAATATTTAGTGCTTCCGTGTCGTTAAAAAAATTAATTCTTCCTTCCAGGAAAAAAATTAAAACTTTACATAAGCTCTCTCTTATGTCAAATCAGTCATACCTTACCTGCTTTATAGGTACCACAGCCCCATCCTATGCATACTTATTAACAAGTAAGTCCTACGAGTTCAGTGCAACTTAGTCCCAGGCAAGCACGCATGGCCTTGTCGTCTTAATGTTGCACAAATCTAATTCAGCATTAAAACCATACCGCTTTTATTATTAAAATTATTATTCCCTGCTTAGGTATCCCTGTAAAAAAAAGCCACTGAAGATTGAAATGCACTGTATTTCAAAAACCAGTTACTTCCCTTCCTCCAAAAGGTGTGCAACGGCCTATGTCTAAACATGCAATAAATCTGGACTGACTAACCGAACCAAGCATACGCAATACCTCAGATACAGATCAAAACCCTTCTTTCAAACCATTGTCTTTCAACCAGAATATAATGGGCACACCTTATTTCACAAGACGGCTGTGTAGAACAAAACCAGCACCTTCCAACAATTCCAAGAGGCAATAAACAGAATCACACTGTTTCATTTTGGGTTAATCAAAGCAGAACATCTAGCCCCCTTTGCTTTGTACTAGTGTGATTTAGAATGGCCACTCTGTAGGGCATGACAACGTCCCTTGAGCCCCCCCCTTCTTAAAATGTACGATCTTGATACACTTCCTTATTTATTTTGATCTGATCCTCCTCTCCAGACCAGTCATCTCTCTCCACCTGGAACCCTTTTCCGATTAGCCTCTGTTCTTAACCCAGTGAGTCTCTCCTCTCTGCCACCCACCTTCTCACGTTACAGAATCTTCAGCTATAGCACCCTCTGTCTGTAGTCCTAAAGCCCTCCTCTTTTTCTTCTTTCCCCTCTCCAGGTATATGTTGTAGGTCAGCCTAGGGCATGAAGCGCAGAGAAGGACTTCCTCGCCGGTGCACATGTGAGTGGCAGGGATTTGCACAGGCTCTGAAGAAAAGGGTCTGAGCAAAACCTTGCCCTGTAGGCTCCAAGAGCCAACCCCCTACAAAGAGTCAGCCCCTCTCTGTTCTTCATGGCCATGATCTGACTGAAACCATCTAATGAAGCTACAAGAAACCAGTAACTTCTGAAAGCAACAGGGGGGGGGGTAAAGCCTCTGAAAGACATCCTCCTTTCAGCACCCGGCACGTTTGGGTATGGGGAGGGGGCTAAAGATAAATTAACTGTACACGGCTAATCTACAGTGTGTACACATCAGTCTCAGGAGCAAGGTGTCCTTCAGCATTGGTGTGTGAAGATCGAGGCAACTTCTACAAAAATCAGCTTCTACTTGATTGGTTTGTAACTTAAAAACACACTAGGTTGCAGAGCGTTTATTTCAAACTCTCCTTACAAAGTGCACCACTACGGGGGAGGTTTTAATCATTCATAGTCTTTAACTATAAAGTTGAGAGCCCTTTAGAAACTAACTTTCAGCTTGCTGTGGATCACAAGTAAGCTGGGTTTGAAGAACGAGAACCGGAGAAAGTTCCGTCAGGAAGGGAAAGCCTTTAATTTCATTACAACTTTCCTGAACTTTTCTAATGGCATTCTAATTTTAAAAAGCCCAAATATTTTGCACAAAATCATTTTCTCATGTGAGGTGTGCATGGGGGAAGTCCACATGCGGCACTTTTTCACATATACCCTTCAAGACCAAGATTCTTCTCTGGCTACGGGGACAGATCCACCCCCCCCCCCCCCCGTGTTACAAAATAAACACGATTTCCAAGACTTATCTTCTGCCTCTTTCTGTCCCACAACACAGGTACAGAAGTATACAGAGGAGGAGAAGATGGCCGTTTCTGATCCAATATAAAAGCTCTTTTGTTGCATTCACACAAAAGCCAAGAATCGCTTTTCATCTCTAGGCCCTGAAGGAAATGGAAGGCAGCCGTCCTGCTCTACAATGCGGAGTATAGCAAACATCTCCCCAAAGTTTGCAAAGGGGCATTGAGAGTTCAGAACCAACAAGGGTGGGTGGGAAATAAGAGTGGGGAAGGAATGGGGTGGGAGGGAAAAAAAGGCAGGGTTGGAATCTAACAGCTCCTCTGTGGGTGCTATTCAACCTCGTTTTATGCCTTTCATAAAGAAGGAAACGTAATCCCAGCGGGTCCACACCACCGAGATATGTTGTTCTTTTAGAAGAAGAAAAAAAACACAACCAACCAGTTGATCCGTTCAGGAGCTGAAAAGTAGCGAGCTGGCTGTGATCACTTACTTGTCCGTCTCTTGTGACATGTTTGATCCAATGAACTCTCTCCCCTTTTCCAGGTGCCTCAGTCTCTCTGGTGAAACTGGACTTTCAAGTCTGTGCAGGTGAAGGTGTGTGTGTGCGCGCGCGAGGGAAAGCGAGCGCCCGGGACGGCAGAACCAGAGCTACTGGTAATTCTGCTTTTCTTCCCCCCCTCTACTTTTCCCTCAGCCAGCCGTCGAGGTAGAAGCGGGACAGGTAAAGCCCCCTTCTCCCCGCCCCTCGCATGTGGAAAGGAGACTGGTTCGCCCCGGCCGCCCTCCCCCTGCTGCTGAGGGCACCAAGCAGGGAAGGAGCAAAATCTAAAGGCGCCTACAGGTAACTTTCCTAAGAGAAGCTGGATTCTTTCACTACAGGAGACAAGGCAGAGGGACGAGCCGCGAGCTGATTGGGCAGAGCGGGCTCTCAGGTGAGCAGCCATTGGAAGAGGCGCGCTCAGGTAAGGCCCTGGCTCAGAACTCTGCGCGAACTCTGCTCGCGACTTTGGAGAAAGCGGAGCTGGCCTGATGGAAGGAGAGCGGCGGGCAGGGCGGGGGCTCGGAGGGAGACAGACACAGCCGGACCAGGCCAGTCCTGACTCCAGGAGCTGCACTAGCTGGAGGGGTGGGGGATGCCCGAAAGGAAGTCTAACATCAAGGAAGGGGGAGCGAGTAAGGAGAAACTCCACGGGCCTGGGACATAGCCGGGGGAGTGGTTCTTTCAGCCTCTCTCCGCGTTATCTCGGAGCGGTTTTCAAGGCATTGCAAAGTCCCCACCAGCTCTTGTAACTTCGCCCTTGGGAAGAGTGAAAGATTGGCGCTAAGACGCAGCAGAGAGATCAATGCGCTAGCCCGCGTGTGGACCTACAGCGCAGGAGCCTAGTGGCAGAAATGGGCAGTAGCTCAGTGACCTTTCCATACGGCATTATTGGTTTTCTCATGCAGACGCTGCCTCCCTCGTGGCTTTTGTTTTAAAACTGGCGACAGGATTTACAGGCCTCCCTCAAGGACGCTTATTGACTTCTGCGCCGCCGTAAAGCGCTGTTTGTACAGGGTTTTCCCCCCTTGCTTTGAGGAGGTCTTTAGATAACGGTGGGTAGGGCTTGATTGCGCTCCCCAGCCCCACCCTCTTTACAATCTCCCCAGTTAACCGGGGTAAAAATGGTCCTTATACTCAGTTATAAACTTAGGTGAAATATTTTCTGAGGAATGCCTAGTGCATTTCTCGTATTCTGCCTTTGTTCAGCTTCATGAAGTGCAGCTCACTTGTTTTTGCTAGCAAAGAAAAAGCGTTTGTTCCCACGGGAGGTTATGTAAGTGCTTGGTTGTAGGTCCTCTCTTAGGTGGCCGACCGTGGCTGGCTAGCAAGCAATCCAGGCTTGTAAAATAAGCTGTTGGTCACATAGCTGTAGGGAAAAGCTTGGCTCCCTGCATCCAGGTGATCTGGGAGGGAAGCATTTGCAAATTTTATGAGAGAGAATTCTTCTTTTTAGTCTGTTGATGTGCTGCAAATTATTGAAAATTGATTTGCATGGTGAGATGGGCTGGTGAAACATTTTTGTAGGCTAGTGGCTTTTATGGGATTGTTTGCAAGGCTCATACAATTCTGGCATTAACCAGCATAAGATGTGGCAGTGGCTGCATGACTTTTTAAAAGGAGTGCACAGCTTTATGAACGATAGATCAACCAACAGCTGTCAGCCATGGAGATGACTACATGGAACTGCCATTTTCAGAGGCAGTCTTCCTCAGAATATCCGGTGCTGGGCACGGTCGCATGCCATCATCTTTATGCCTAACTTGTGAGTTTCTAGCTAGCTACTATTTGAGGCATAGTTGGGCTGGGTGAATTCTTGCTACGGTCTTGCAAAGTGGTTCTTATAATACTATGCAACTTAAGTTTGAAACAGGTTTTATTTCACAGTAAGTTCCATTGACTTTTGTTAAACATGTTTCCAAAGAAGTGGGGTTGGGCCTACCACCCTAATCCTAAACAAATTGACATAAAGGATTAAGTTAACGGTTGGCATGAATATGTCAACTGAAATGGCACACAAGTGAAGCTGAAAATCAAAAAAGTCCGGTGCAGCTTCCATGCCTTTCCAGATAATTGCAAAGTCCCTGTTACTTTTTTTTGTCTGTTTGCCACTCAGCCAACGGTCAGGTGAACTAAAAATCTTTACACCACCAGCAGTGCAGAGATAGATCAAAGTCTTACCTCTCTACCTGAAAGCCTAGGATTTGCATCTAGAGCTCACAACTGCATTTTTATACAGATTTGGGTGAGAAGAAGCCTCATTCAACCCAGTATGTCTTCCTTTTAAGTAAATGTGGATAAGAACAGGCTGCACAAGTTTTATTTACTGTTCCAATCCACAGTCATTTCTCATACTTTCACTTTGGTAAGCCTGTTTGCATAACAGCTGTAATTCTGCTGTGACATTATTTTGCCAAGGTGAAAGGCAATAGTTTTCAGATCAGTTTACTTCATGGGTGCATATTTTGCTTCAGTGCACACTATTAGTAGCAATGTTTGTACTCGCCAGTTGAGGACAGAGAATAAGGTATTCAGATAGGTCTTAACGAAGGTTACAAATTATAAGTGCTTAAAATTATGTGTTATGGGAACTGCAGACAAATCTATGGGATGAAAGATGCTAATAGTTTGCATTTTGTGCTTGCTGTGTAGTGCAGTGCAGATGTTGAACAGCCCATTGTCTTAGCATACCTCTATGCTTTGCTATCTCTCTGTTGGCTGTTGTGCCAAGACTCCAGCTAGGAGACCCAGATGCAAAGCCAGCTGCTAATTTTGCAACAGGTAGCACTTATTCTTAATCCTTCCTGTATGTTAAAAACGGCAGTCATCCTTTTACCATTTTATGTTGGGGAGGGGGGTTAGGCTAGGGGGAGCTAATCCTAGGGCAGGCAAACTGGTCTGAATTTCTTGAGTTATCTATCCTATAGCATGTTAATTGTGTGCCTTGTATTTCCATTTAAAAGGATCCCAGGGAGTGGGGGAGACGGGGATGGAGACCCTGGAGATCCACTGCCAAACAGTAGTGAGCTGGATGAACCAAAGCCTGGGAAAAGGCAGCTTCATATGTTTAGATAATCCTGTGGAGGGGAGGTGGACTCAACATCAGTTGTATTTATTTAAAAAGTGGGCAGTGGACTACTGTAAATTTGTAACATCCCCCAGTTATCTTTTCTTCTAAACTGAAAAGCCCTGACTCTTTAGCTTTTCCTCATAGGAATTATCTGACTTTAAGGCATCTTCATATTTTTATATACTAACTCCTGCTTGCTGCCACTGATCTGTGATTATGTGAATTAATGGGCATTGGGGTGGTAAGGAAAGCATTGATGGGGCTCCTGCTTTTGGAAGTAGGAGATTAGACTTGATGTCTTTCCAGTCCTATTGTTCTTATCTCAGAACATCCTTACAAAATTATCTCTTACTTGACTTTCAGTAGATTTCCCTAAGTGCATTTAGGACTGTCCTTTTATTTCATTGCTTCTTTGAGTCCCTAAGCGTCAAACCAAATACAATCAAGAATTCAGGAAGTGTGGCCAATAAAACACAACTTTTCATTCACTAAGTAACACTGCATTCTAATGGGAAAAATGTGTTTTATTTCTAAGGCTTACAATAAAAGGCAAGAAGGACAGGTGTTATCAAACTAAAGATAGTCCAAGCTTAATTTGGAAGTAAACTAGATAAAGAGAAGTACACCCAAGCCCTTTAGGCTATGGCTGATATTTGGGAGCTAAAGAAATGGAAATTCTCACTGCAATCCTAAACAGAGTTACACCCTTATAAATCCATTGACTTCAGTGGATTTAGAAGGGTGTAACTCTGGTTAGGACTGCATGGTAAATCTTAGGGCCTTATCATTCTCATTCACAACCATTAGATAAACATGCTCTTGTTTAACTAAACATATGCATATCTTCAGAACATCTGAACCATATCAAACCCAAAGTGTTTTAGCAAAAATAAAGTGAACAGTGAACAAAACAGAGTTACCTAGATTTTTTGTAAGAAGGCAGAGGAGGACTTGTGGAGAGTGTAAATAAACCCGCTAATTTTGAGCCTGTTTGCCTTTTTTTACTGGAATAAGGAAGCCAGTTCTTCAGTACACTCCTTGTTTATTAAGAAAACAATTGGGAGCTTCAGACAGTTAAAGAAGCAGGCTGGTGTGTTCAGGTTGCCCTGTTATTAAGCAGCATTTGTCCTCAGCCTGACTGAAAGCAATAAGATTTATAATTTTCTCTTTTTTAATGCCCCCCGAAGGGGATTTTTTATTTGCATTTTCTATAAACTACAAAAACTACAACTAAAAGTTGGAAGGAGGAGGGAAACGAAAACCCTAACACGATAGCTATGGGAAATGGGAAGAGGACAAACTAATACACGAAATCTACTTGAAAGGAAGCTACTATTCTAAACTATTTCATCTATTGGATTTGGGGAAAGGAAAGCTAATACATGTCATGATCTAATTAGCTAAAAGTAAGGCTTATTAACCTAATGATACAAGTTTGGTATACAGGTTGGTTCATTACAGTATTACTTTAAGAATATGCATTTAATAGCTTAGCACAAATTCTGCCTTTAAGAACTGTTGTTCTTGTTCTAGAGTCTTTTCTTCCTGTGTTTCTTCATTTTCTTGAGTTTGGGGGCGGCTTCTCCTTTCTCCGATTCCAATGATTCTGGTGATGTGGAAGTAGTGCTTTTTGAATCCTGTGAGTAGGATTCTTCTTCCTCCTCCTGATCTGGTTTTGAGTTCTTTTCTTTCTTTTTATATTTTGAGTTGAACATTTGGTCCATAAATTTTTCCGCTTTTGGAACAGAATCAATTTTGTATTTTTTATCCAGATAATTGAAGCTCAGTCCTTCCGGGAATAACCATCAATATGGTACTCCCTTTTTTTTCAGAGTGAGAGTAAGCATCCTGTATAGTTTCCTCCGTTTTCTGACTTCAAAGGGAATGTCTTTTAGTATTTTTATCTCTTCATTCTTAATTTTTAAGGGTTTTCCCATTGTAGATTTTAATACCAGTTCTCTAGTAGATTGTTTCGTGAATTTTAAATAGATTTCCCCTGGGAGTTTATTTTTCTTTATAAAATCCAGGTAAGTCCTGTAGGCTGCATCCATCTCTTTCAATAGGTCTTCCTGTTTGTAATCCATTAATGAAGCCTCCGCCAAAGGTCCTTGTTCTTCTCTTCAGGGATCCCATGGAAACGTAGAACATACTTAGATCTTTCCCGCTGGAGCTGTATTAACTGCGTTTTATCGGAGGTTCTTTCTTTCTCTGCCTCATCTACTCTCTTGTTGAT